TGATCGTCGACCTATCATATGAACTCTCGTCGCATCCTGCCCNAAATAACAATATGACTATTTCACTTACATCGTCGGCGAGACAATTCCCCGAAGTGATAATGTCGTGAAACCACTTATAGGTCTCCAAGATCGTCTTCCCCCTTTCGTTGCGACTATCTCTGAAAAAACAAAAAAAATGTTAAAAAAATATAGATGAGTTATCGTAGCGTACTTCACTAAAATTGTAAAATACTTACCCTGGCATAATTCTCCTCCACTCTGTCTCAAACGCTTTCCATTAGGTCGCGTCCCGTCAACGAACGTCCTCCTCTTCGCTTCGACCGTAAAGGGAGAAACGACATTCTGCGACGACAATCTGACCCTCTTGCCGACCACCTACTCCGGGCCGTCCACGGCACGCTTTTTCCCTTTAGCCACGTCAGGCGTAAGCTGGACCTCCACCCCGGGGACCACGGTCTCCTAAGGGCTCCCCACTACCATCGCTATCGCCATCCAGGACATCCCCGGGTCCTCTCCGCGATCCCCTCGTGGCTTCCCAACTCCTCTGCCGTCACTATCGGGACTACTGCCTCCGTCCGTCTTCCCCGACCACCATTTCCCGCTCCACAGATAACAAAAATGATTCCAAAGCATCATCCGCCCAGAACTGTCTGTGACCCCTCTCCCCATCACCCTCTCCGTCATCCCGACTGTCATCCCGTCTCATGCCCACTATATCGCCTCGGAGGGCTGCAACCTCATCCTGAAGCTCTAGCAAGTGGTGACGTAGAACTCTAACATTATTGGATAAATTGTTGACCTCTCCTATAAACTCTCGTCGAATCTCGCCCATATGCTCCGTCAGTCGGTCGTACTGATCGTCGACCTATCCTATGAACTCTCGTCGCATCCTGCCCATCTGTCTCGCTATAAATTTAGTCAGGCGATCATACAGATCAACGGAATACTACATCTGACTGTGTGCAGGAGATCCATGGGTAGGTGAGTGGACAGGGAGAAGGAGACCTGATCGGCAGTGGTGATGCCCTCAGTCGAGATGATGCCTTCGACGGAGGCGATCATCAATCAACTGGACCGCACTCCTACACGAATGGGAACATTAAAAATTATTTTTTAATGGAAATCGGCTAACGCATACAAAACTGTAACCAATAAATTATATTCAATTCATATACCTCATCTCGATCCAGAATGGAATCAGACACTCGATCGTGCTGATTGTGCGGAGCGGCCGGTTCACCCACATAACCAGGAGCCTCTTCCTCTATCGATGACATCAACTTAGTTATGACTTCAAGCTAGGCAAGGGGAGCGTCGCCTAGCAAACTGGGCACCTAGGAGGAGGACATTCTCATACGCCCAGATCTGCAACACATACAATTATTGATATGCTCAAAACGAGTACCAACTAATTTTCCTTACTTAACTTAAAATTGTCATCTCAAATAGAAATATGGCAAGTAAGAGTCATTTACCGCAGAGGATTGTTTCAATTTAATTAA